TTTTTTTTAAAACTCAATATTAATTGTCGTTGGAACTATTGTACTAATATGAATTTTAAAAAATGGTATATCGAGAAGTACTCGAAAAATTAATCGATATAAAGCTTCCGCGCAATCACAGATATCTTAAAAATATTTGAACACCCTGAACTAGCGTAATCAGAACCGTAACTAAGAATTTCAGCACTTGGCCCAACGAAAATACATACTTAACAACATAACATAATTGAGAAGCAAATTATGATATTAGGTTTCAGCTTGCAGCTACCTACTTTATCTCTGACTAGCTGCCTTCGGCGACCAGCTGGTTTTTATTTTTGTATTTTATATTAATTATAGCATTCCCCATCGCGGTTGCACCCGCGATAACTCAGGAAAGATGAACAAAAAAGAGAATATTTTATTGTTTTTGGCACACAGTAAAATATATAAAAACGAAAATTTTAAAATTCCAGCGATACAATTCTGTATGATGCATCATAGCTAACGAAACTTAAAAACTGCGTTTCAAATAACTCTCACTCAATTCATCTGTCACTCATCGGTAGAATGATTAACGCTGAATAGGGTCGCGAAAGACGAACATGCTAGAAGCCCCGTGTGAACCAGTGTATGCCTTATTGGGTTGAAAAAATGCGGAGGTAAAAAATTTATAGATATCTAAAACACTCGGGAGTATAGGGGGTAGACAATAAAATTTAATTAAAAAATATTTAGTTTTCTCGGACACTATTGCTTTTCTGTATTTCCTAGTTTAAAGCAGCTAAAATGAAATAAGAATTTAATCTTTCCCTAAATAAGTAGGGGATGACTGACCTGAACTCGCCGCCACTGGCGTGAATTATGACTGGGTAGCATTTCTCCCTTAATCGTAACCTGTCGCCAACCCTCCCCTTCCCCTCCAATGCTATAAATAGAACCGTCACCCTGAGGAACCGTGAGCAACGCCGTTGCTACGTCCCGTTTTGCCGCTAGAAATTGTGTTTGAAAACATTTTCAAAAATTAATTAAAATGAAACAGAACGTCGCATGGAAATAAAATTGGTGGCATTGAAAATCTAATTTTTTAACTTTAAGATGATGTTAAAATGATTTTTGTACGCCATTATGATCCAAACTTATTGCGGAATAACGTTAAAATTTAAGGTAATTTTTAATTAATTAAAATTCTAATAAAGATTTAGAAAAATCCTTTTTTAGTGACCACCTACTACCCAAAAATCAACCACCTGCCAAATTTCAAGTTTCTAGGCCTCATGGTTTGGGAGAGTTCGTGATGACTGAGTGTTTTATGGTATTTGCCTTATATATATAGACAATAATGTCCCGTCACCAACTTCACGGCTATTTCCTCTACCGTTAAGCTGGCTTCCTACCATAAGTTCTGAACTGCGCTAAATCTAATATCAAATTTGATGAGTTATCACTTGAGGAAATCAAGTTTGGCGGCAGTACTGTACTCTTAAGCCTAACCAAAATTTTAATAAAAAATTACCTATGATACAAAAATTTGAAAGCGTTTTCATGCCTCATAATTTTAAAATGGCAGGAGAGCATGGGGATTAAATGCTTGAAGAAAGGATGAAAATCATTTCAATCTAAATCACACACAATGAAAACAAAAAACCTGAAATCAAATATCTGTTTCCATTCCTTATAAAAATTCTATCAGATTACCCGGCGTTGCTCTGTCATTTTCTTATCAAAACCTTGGGATGGAGATGAAAAGGAAACTTTTTTAAAAAACTGCGAGTACTTTGTTATGTATGTGGTTTATAAACCACAGCCGCTATGAAAGGGTTAACTATAGTAAAGAAGGGGTTATTTAATTACATAGTAAATGTTAAAAAGAAGCGTGAGACAAATGATATTTTTTATTAAGAAAAGTATCGTAAAACTATTCTACTACCAAGAAATAAGCAAAAAAAAGTTTCGCAAATGCATATTTAAGTATAAAATAATAGGTATTTTATTATATCGTCTCCTTTTCATTACATTTATAAATCTTAAGTTACGATCTTTCGGAATTTTTCGAACCTATGCATATTATTCATTTCCGGAACGGTTAATTGTACCCTATTCTATGAGGATCTAATTGAAACATCGACATTTTAATAGTACGAAAAATCTCAGTTCCCTTAAAATAAAGATTAATATCACTTTAGGACTTATAATAAATCAGAAAATTCATGCTTAATTCAGTTATATTGGTCTTGTCAGTCTCCGTAGCAAACGTATTTAAATTTTGCCAATTCAAATTAGAAATTAGTAGGACAGTCGACCAAATATTCATCTTCATAAAATTTTTATTTCATTCATCTATTTAGATTTAATTTGATTGGGGTTTTTGGGGATTTTCAGCAACAAAGGCTATTATCCGCTATTCATTCCAAAGTTCTTTTCAATCCGTAATCAAATAAGAGATGAAAATTGCCATCAAAAGACGGGTTAAAGTTATTGCCGATCTGATTCGGTCAAGAGAAAACAAAAATGGCACCCTCCGAGAAAGGCATCCATATTCTTTTTTCATTTATCTATTTTCTTCATTCAATAATATTTTGACAACTATCATTTTGTTGCCATTCTGCGTAAAATAAATTTTAAATAAACAAAAATAATGCAGTGACAGTGAAATCTGGCACCAAATTTTCTCAAAATCGCCGAGCGAAGCAATCGGCCTATTCCTTACAAGCATTTTGGAGACTTCGCCCCACCATACCCTGAGGGACTGTATTAGGGCTTATTTACCCTTCCTATACTTCAAGTGCGTCAATGAGGAACATGTGTACCAAGTTTCAGCAAAATCCTTTCAGGTGTTCGGAAGTAATGCCGGAACAAACATACATACGTTGAGTTTTATATATAAAGATTACTTTGAAGCAGGTGCGATAAAACATTTCAGCAATGCGATAAATACTAAAATGAAAATTATGCTTTGGAGTTAATTCCCCATTAAAACAATTTATACTATCACGGCCGTAACAATTGCAAAAGCGCGTGAATAAAAGATTTGCTGAAATAATGAGATGGTTGGAATTTTCTTTACAACAATGAAAACATTGTTACAATTCATGTTTTAAAATATTTTGAAACATTAATTAAAATTGAATAAAATTCCGCATGGAAATAAGATTAATGTCATTGAAAAGCTAATTTTTTTTATCTTTAAGATGATGATGTAAAAATGGTTTTTATACGATAATAGGATCCGAAGTTATTCCCGAAATAATAACTTCAATAAATTTAAATTCTATTTAAAAATTCGAAAAATCCTTTCTTATTGAACACTTACTCCCCAAGAAGCAACCGTCTGCCAAATTTAAAGTTTATTGTCCCAGTGGTTTGGGAGATTTCGAGATGAGTGAGTCAGTCAGTGAGTGAGTCATGGTATTTGCCTTTTATATATAAAGTTAATGGAGGTAACTTCTATTGCACTCATTGCTTAGAATTTCCCCACTGTTTGACTCTTTGTGAATATTTTTTGAATTGATATACACGTTTATGTAACATTAAAAATCGATAGCTCTCTAGTTACAAGCCATAATAGTATTTTTAATTCTAACGAATTTAAAATTATAACACATTTTTTGGTCCAAAATTAAAATCAATATAGTGAATTTTTAGGCGCCAGGGTCATTGCCGTCCCTGACCCCCAGTTAGTCCACTGGATAGACATCCCTGCACACTATGGAAATTACAATCAGTTGCAGAAATCTTTGATATGGCATTTAAATTTGCTTTCTTTTTTTCATTACCAAAATCTACGCTTATAAAAAACAATGCGCGATGTCCAGACCAATCTATCGCACTTACAGTCATAAAATGTGGCACACAGGTAGTCGTAAACGTGACTGAATTCACCTCGAAGCCGGAATTTTAAAATTTAATCTAAAAATTTTTTTTATTTAATGCTTTGTGTTGTTTTGTGTCATTTTCGGCACGTTTACGGCTGTAGTATCTTTTCTAATGATAGTTGAAAAACAATCGATGCACCATCGGATAGAACAAACAATTTTCTTTCTAATGAAATTTGTTTTCAGCTTCAAACGTAATTTACTGAATTTTGAGAAAATTTTTAAAAATAGTCAGTTTTGCCATCTAAATTTTATTTTTGTTTTTAAATTTGCTGCATCTGACGTTCTAATAACACTATTATTTTCACTTTTTTTCAGCTTATAACTGGAACGATTCTGTTTGATTTAAAACAAGAACAGTTAAAATATCTTTTCCCGTTTTTTTTAATTAATATTTTCCTTGTCAGTTGAAAGATATTTTTCCTCTAGAGAGCTTCCTTCCGCGACACTTCTCCGGAACGTTGTTGGCAATTGCATTGTCTGGCGGGACAGAGCGCAGGTGACGTCATAACCTTCAATTGAATGACTTCGATTATTATTTTCGAAATTGATTTTTTATTTTGCTTGCTGTATAATAATCATTTTCACGTTCTAATTTTTTTAATATTGTTTCGGATTAACGTACTCTGTATGTTTTTCTACAGTTGAAATGTCATTATCGCGAAGAAAAATATGTGGCAAAATCAATAATGTGTATCTTTTGTTTTGTTTTCAGAAATTTTCATGTCATTGTGGACGGTTTTTTTTTTCATTTTGTTGAAGTCCTGATTCCACGGGAAACGCCGTTCGCCTACTGCTAGTAATAAATAAAAAGGACAGCAAAAAAGTGGCGTAAAGTATATAAAATGACGCATAAAATAAATACCGCAACTGCGTCTCCTCCATACTTTTTGTTTCAAAATGTATCCTAATTTTTTTTTGGAAATTTTATGCTGGGGAGTGCAAAAAATAAAATTGCAAATAAAGAAAATCAAATTATTGTTTTTTAATATTTAGAATCCTATGCATTTTCATTTTTAAAATCATAATTCGCCCTGTGAGCCATTTTTATATATTACGCTACTGATTTGAATCCTTTTAAGTTCGTAATTTCTAACTTTTTCATTAAAAGAAAAATGTTCGTCATCGCCGAGATAAAATAAATTCTGTCAGAAGTGGAATTCGAACCCACGCCCATAATTGTGGAACAGAACCTTCAGCACTCGGCATCAGAGCAACATTCCTCTTGAGTCTAACGCCTTAGACCGCTCGGCCATCCTGAGACAGTGTTGTTATCGCGTGAAGTCGCTCGGCCATCCTGACACCGCAAATATCGCAACTGCGCCTCCTCCACACTTTTTGTTTCGAAATGGTGTTCTAATTTTTTTGGAAGTTTTATACTGGGGAGTGCAAAAAATAAAGCTGCAAATAAACCAAATCAATTTGTTGTTTTTCAATATTTAGAATCCTATAAATTTTCATTTTGAAAATCATAACTCGCCCTGTGAGCCATTTTTCAATTCCTACTATTAGTTCACACTCTCCCTATATATATTTATTTATATATCCTGTTCAAATTTTCAATCGTTTATAAAATACTTTTTATTCATCCACTCAAGTTCAAATACATTTTTTAAAACATGTAGTGGATGGCACTTGATGGTAATACAGTTTTTCAAATATTAATTCATTAATTAAATTAAATTAATTAATTTTAGTTTTATATGGGAGATATATTAATTAGATTATATAATTATTATTAGGAGATTATATAATCTCTAAAATAAAATTTTTCTTTGTTGACCCAAGTAGGAATTGACTTAAAATTTTTTTTTATATTACTTGTTATATATTACGCCACTGACTTGAATCCTCTTGAGTTCGTAATTTCTAACTCTTTTTCATTAAAAGAAAAATGTTCGTCATTGCCGAGATAAAATAAACGCTGACAGAAGTGGGATTCGAACCCACTCCCACATACGCGGACCAGAACACTCAGCACTCTGCATCAGAGCAAGATTCCGCTTGAGTCTGGCTAACTTAGACCGCTCGGCCATCCTGACACAACACTACTCTCGCGTGAAGCCCTTATCAACAGTAGCAGCGATAAAAGGCCGTAGTTGCTCCTGTAAGGAAACTTCTCATTAAAGGTTCAACAACATTTCGTCTCAAATCGACAAGAGACTATTTGTTTCCTTTCTCCACAGCAATTTCCGTTCATTTGGTTTCTCCATTCCAGTAAAAGTAAAAAAAATTATCCCAGTCCAAAATAAAATAAACGCTGTCAGGAGTGGGATTCGAACCCACGCCCACATTCGTGGACCAGAACACTCAGCACTCTGCATCAGAGCAAGATTCCTCTTGAGTCTGGCGCCTTAGACCGCTCGGCCATCCTGACACAACACTACTCTCGCGTGAAGCCCTTATCAACAGTAGCAGCGATAAAAGGCCGTAGTTGCTCCTGTAAGGAAACTTCTCATTAAAGGTTCAACAATTTTCGTCTGAAACGGACACGAGACTATTTGTTTCCTTTCTCCACAGCGATTTCCGTTCATTTGGTTTCTGCTTTGCAGTAAAAGTGCTAGGAAACACAGGCTAAAACCTATGACACACTGTACTCGCCAAACTTCCTTAAAAGTGAATTGAAGCGAAAACAATTACTCATCAACAGGCACACAAAGATTTGCAACGCTATTTTATTCTTCGTCTGATAACATTTTGCGTAACTCGGCTAGCTCAGTCGGTAGAACACGTGACTCTTAATCTCGGAGTCGTGGGTTCGAGCCCCACGTTGGGCGTTTCATTTTCGATCTTTGTATTACCGATTCGGGTGGATTTCTGCAGAAGTAGGCAAATGCGAAACAGGTCCAGAGGGCATCCTGGTTTTTCCTCCCCATTATTTTGAAATTTCTGGGGATCAACTTAAGAAACGGCCATTTGTTGTGATTTTGATCATATTTTGCCGTCTTCATATAAAACGATGCGTTTTCCTGAATCTCTTTCGTTTTATTTCTTCCGAGTCGTTGGAAAGTAATTATTTTGAAGGAAAAGTCCGATTCGACTTGAATAAAAGATTATTAAAGCAGTTAAAGGAAGATATTAAATATAGCTAAGTAGCACTTGAGCCGTAGATATTAAATATCTATCGAGTACCCATGGTGTAGTGGTTATCACACCCGCCGAACACGCGGAAGGTCCCAGGTTCGAAACTTGGTGGGTACAGGTGGTCTTTCATTTTCGATTTTATTTCAAGAAAAACGCTGCGTATCAGTTATGCTTCGCTGTAATATTCTTCATAGTAATGTTTAACAACGGAAGGAAGATAGAAAAAGGAATTGTACCATTCCTTCTTAAATATTATGCCTTCAAAAGAAAGAGATTTTTGAAATTAAAAAGATTACCTTCTTAACAGGCGTTAAAAGACAGTAAAAATAATTTAATTTAATTACGTAAAATCAGTATATTCGATAACCTATAAAGACGCATATTCAAATTAGATGATTTCAAGTCAAAGACTACAATTATACTAGAAGGAGAACATGCATCAGTCATACAGCATCCATGAGCTATTTAATCGCAAAAATTAAAGCGGCTAAATTATTTTTCTTTAATCGTTTTCATTGAAGGTACAGTCCGCAACTTTATAGATCTGACAGTCGCTATAACTCGGGGAGCTATTATCGGATTTTCACAAAACAGGTGTCGATGGAAATGTGTCGAGGAGAAACTGGTGTCGATGGAAATGTCTCGAGGAGAAACTGGTGTCGATGGAAATGTCTTGAGGAGAAACTGGTGTCGATGGAAATCTCTCGAGTAGATTCCGTCTCCTCGAGAAATTTCTATCGAAACCAGTTCCTCCTCGAGACATTTCCATCGACACCAGTTTTGTGAAAATACGATAATAGCTCCGCGAGTTATAGCGACTGTCCGATCTATAAAGTTGCGGACTGTACATAAAATATTCCTATAATATGCACATCCGCATTTTCTATGACAACGGGCAAAAAAATAAATTCGCACTGACCCACGGGGGGGGGGGATAAAACACACGACCTTCGAGTTATTAGCACGTCGCTCTAACCAACTGAGCTAATGGGTCGTCGAATACCAGCTGGTATGGAGGAAATAAAATCAAATGGTACAATTTTTTCGAACTTGTTCAAAATGGCTCCATTTTCGTTGGGTTTCTCTCGATCGGTTGTACCATAATCAGTCACCGGCCATCAAAAATAGAGAGAAGTTTGCTTTATTTCAACTTTAATGGGGTTGAATCGAATCAAGACTTCGGGTCATCTTTTCCTTTACAGGCTTCCTTGAAACACTCTCAAATGTTAGAAATATAGGCTCTTATGGGTTTCTATAGAAATTTCATTACTCTATCTACTATCCTACCGCCAGGAGAAAAACCTTGAACAGGGTTTCCTCAAGTAGAGTAGTCGGAGAAAGGGGGGAAACGAATATAAATTCAACCGCAACAATTGGCAAGCTAAGCGCACTTCGTTAGACAAGAAATCCGTTTTGGACCAAAGTACAAAGCGAAATGAGACTTTCGCTCGTTCCTTCACCCCCCCAAATACATTGGAATTTCCCGTTTCCATAACGGCCTCCACCGGCATGTCTGGTGTATATGGTTTTTCTCGTGGCGGTAAGAAAATGTATCGGATTTAAGTTTATTTTACGCAGACAGTGCGGATTGGTACAGATAAAACTCATTCAAAAACATAGCAAATGGTGAATTGCATCGGCCGGGAATCGAGCGCGGGCCAGGCGAGAATTCTACCACTGAACCACCGATGCTCTGAAACCGCCGCAAGCTGACCGATTGCAACTGGTTTACGACGCACAATTGCCCTCATTCTTTCTTTTCTTTCTTAACTCATTAACGACTGACGTTGCGTTTTCGCAACATTAGTGAAATGATTTTTTTTACTATAAATTGATTTTTTTTAAATTAATTTTTGTATTATATTAGACAAAGCTTCTATGCTTCTAGGAGAAAAGAAAACTGTTTCGCTCTCATTGAAACTTTTTCTTTAATAATTTTTTTCATTTGACATTTTTTCCGGACTGTTTTTTTTTTATAATATTGAATAGTTCTCACAGATGGCAGAAGATATTTGTATTAAATGTAACGTGCTCTTACATAGCAAATGTTTGAAAGATATTAATGGAACCAAAATGTAATCCGTTTTGCCTGACGTTTCGTTTTCGGAGCATTCTGTATCTTCTATAAAAATAAATATTTTTTTCGCCTGTTCCTTTTTTTCCTTAATTAGACTCTACTACGTCTAATAAACAACTTTTGCCCATTTATTTCAAAATAGGGTAGTGAGGTGGTTAATGGGTTATGTTTATTTTAAGCAGACAGTGTGGATTGGTACCTTTAAAATTCATTGAAAACATAGCAAAAACTCAATTCATTTATTACTCGTTTCATTTATTCCGAGTCGTTGCACAGTAATATATAATTTTGAAAGAAAAGTTCGATTCGTAGTAGAAGGTCTGAAGATAAACATCTTCGTCTTGAGCCGTAGGTATTAAATCGCTATCACGTTCCCATGGTGTAGTGGTTATCACATCCGCCTAACACGCGGAAGGTCCCAGGTTCGAAACCTGGTGGGTACAAGGCTGCTTTTGTGTTTTCGTTTTATTTCGAGGAAAATTGCTGCTTCTCACTTATCTTTCGTTGTAATCTTCGTGATAGTAATATTTAACAACGGATGGAGGACAGAGAAAATACTATACCATTCCATCTGAAATATTATGGTTTAAAAAAAGTTCTTTTTGAAATTAAAAACAGAACATTTTTAACAGGCGACAAGTGACAATAAGAACAATTGAATTAACTTAATTACGTGAAGTCAGCATGCATATTCAATAACCTATAAAGACACATATTTAAATTACATGATTTCAAGCCGAAAGCTACAAATATAATAGAAGAAGAACATACAACAATCATACAGCATTTCCATACTCTATTTAATCGCAAAAATTAAAGCGGCGAATTTTTTTTCTTTAATCGTTTAAATTGAAAGTACATGAAATATACCAATGTAAGACGCATATCCGCATGTACTCTGGCCGCAGGCAAAAAAATGAAACGGCATTGGCCCATGGGGGGATCGAACCCACGACCTTCGCGTTATTAGCACGACGCTCTAACCAACTGAACTAATGGGCCGTCCGGAACCAGCAGCTATGCAGGAAATTTAATCAAAGTATGCGATTTTAATCGAACTTGTTATAAAGGACTCTATTTTCTTCGGGCGTGTCTCGATCGGTTGTACCATAATTGGTCATCAAAAATAGAGAGAAGTTTGTTTTATTTCAAATTTTTTGGGGCTGGAAACGAATCAATACTTCTGGGGCCTTTTTTCTACAGGCTTCCTAGAAACCCTATCAAATTTTAGAAATATAGACTCTTTTCCGTTTCTATAAAAATTTTATTACTCTATTATTTATCTATAAGGGATTGAAGTTTATTTATGCAGTCAGTGCGGATTGGTACCGTTAAAACTCATTCAAAAACATAAAAAAAGGACAATTGCATTGGCCGGGAATCGAACCCGGGCCGCCCGCGTGGCAGGCGAGCATTCTACCACTGAACCACCGATGCTCAGGGACCTCCGCAAGCTGACCGATTGCAGCTGTTTGACGAAATACAATTGCCCTCATTCTTTCTTTTCTTTGATTAACTGGAGGATGTGTCAGGTAAATGAGAGCCATTTTTATTAGAGTTTCATGGACCAATCCATTCTCAGCAGGGGAATTTTAATATTTTTCCCCCTTAAAATTTGCATGGCACTTTTATGAACTTGTTCTGGGAAATAATCAAAAAATATGACGATTGAATATTCTTAATATGTTTCCTTCTTTAATCCTTTCACCAATTTATTACTAGATGTAACTGATTTTTATTATTAAATGATTATGCATGCAATTACTTTGGTTACTCATGTTTATAAATGGGTATGGAACTATATTTTTGTACAATAAAATATTAACATAATTTTAGAGGGTTCTCTAGTTAGAATGGACGAATGTGTTTTTAGTCTGAATA